CGGATGATAACTAAATTAACATAAATAGTAGGCTAATTAACAAACATCACAACAATGTACATGAACACACTTGCACGGGCATATTCATAAATGAACATTACATGAACATCTCAAAAATTGAACCTTAAAGTGTTTCGAATACTTTTAAAGACACAGTAGGAATAGAATAGTGGGATGTGAAATTCACTGAGAACCAATGATCTCTACAGGGGACATAAATGCATTTCATGAGCCGCAAACGTATAGTTAGTTAACAGGGCTCTATAGTGTTTCTCTCTGCTGGGGAAATTAATGAAATGATAACCTATTATATGACGCCATAAACTGTAGGTTAGTGGCACTGCAGTAAAAGCTCTAATGACAGATTGTAATTGTAAAACAAAGGAACGATATGAAAACATAAACTCTGCATGTTTTAATGTGTGCAATCAGTTTGCTGTCGATAATATTTAGTTTCAGGAGAATTACTGAAAATGGACACATTTCCCATCGTTATACCCACATAATTTATACCTACATTTGTTCTTAAATCCTTCTGAGTTAGTTTTTTGCTTTGTGTTTGAATTTTTCCAAAATCAATAAAATCACTAGGGCTGTATTTATACACAATTTAAACGGTTGCAATGCCATGTTCACATATTATTTTTGATATATATATATAAAAAAAAGTATATAATTTTTTAAGATGTTCTAGACAAAGTTGTTTTGAATAAGCAAATAGCAAGATGTTTTACACTAAAAGGTTACTACTCTAAAGTTCAGTGCAACAGCATCAACTGGCACATGCCAGAGAGCTGATGAAGCACAAGTCACGGTGTGATCTTCCTCCTGCTGCTGCTGCTGCTGCTGCTGCTGTGCGGTTGTTTGGGAGCTGGTGGTCTGCTCTTGATGTTCTGGCACTTTGGGATGTGTCTCTGTGCTGGCCCTGGGGCAAATCTGCGGCCACAGTGAGGGCAGCTAACATATTCTGAGTTTAGGTTTGAGGATGACTGTGGCGGCACACTTCCAGGAGCGTGAGCTCGACCCTGACGCATGGTTTGAACGAAGGCCTCGTTATTCTTCTTAGGCTGCAGATAAAAACAGTAAGACATCAGCAAAGACACGGATAGTGCACAGAAAAGCGATGTTATGAAGTAAACACTACCACAGCTAAACAAAACACAGATCGGCCTTTGCAGATGACAAAGAACATAATTGTGATTTTTTTAAAGATATATATGAATGTACAGTCAAATTACAATTTGAGTCTGTTCCACACACTATCATATGACTTAAGAAGGCCTTTTTAGAGTGCAAATCATATGGAGTACTTGCTGATAATTGTATGGTGTTTTTGTTTTTTTCATTTTTTTATGGAGCTTATGAATTTAACATAGGCTATGAAATAACAGTAAGAAAATTGACAGGATCATATATTGAACTTTTAGACAAAATATATTTAATTTAACAAATGCAAATGTTTTTTTTTTTTAATGTTGAGCAGGCCTATCATATTTGATCCATCAGGCTTTTATAGCTCATATAGTCTGATACAGTGAGAATATGAAGCAAAAACAGCTCAATTTTATTTAGAGACTCAAAATGAGAAATAATATGCAATTTAGTGCAGATGCTGTTTTATTCCTCTCATCTCTCTTTGCACTGTCCTTCCTCTCTTTTAGGACTCTTCTCAGAGTCTCGTCTGCTTTGAAAATCTTCTCCTGGAGCATCACCTCCTCAGAGTGGATTTCCTTTGACAGCCATGTTTGTTTCTCAAGCCTCTGTTCACGGTCCACGTCGCTCTCTGTCTGATTTTTTCTTCCTAGATAGTCTGAATTAAGAGCGTCTAGTTTTCTTACAACCTTCTGCTGGTGTCTATTAGCTAAACACGAGTAAAGTCTCTCCTGATGTTCTGGTTTCGTGACGTTACTCAGGCTGTACCGCTCTCTTGTGAAGGGCTGGTTTTAGAGGGAATAATTTGTCTGATGCTCTCCGTGAAGGAACATATTCACTCTGCTCCTCCAGATGTATGTGTTTCTTGTTGTCTGGATGTTGGCAGGGTTGTTGTCTCTCTCTCGTGGAGCTCATCGTTCCCTCTTGGTTTTCTAGAGCATGCGGTCTGGAGTTGTGATGAGCTCCTGAGGGACTGCGCTGTCTGCTCATGCCTTCTCTGTGCAAGTACAGAAGTTTTGTTGATACGGTCTCTTTTTCACAGAAATGCTGCGTGAATCGATGGCGTGGCACCGTTTGCATGTTCATGCAGTGAGTAAATGTCAGTAACAGTCACATATACAGCTTCAGCAGGAGTTGATCATATAATAACCACGTTGTCAAACTGTGGTCTGTGGACTGCTATAAGACACAGCCATTTCTTTAAAAATAGTACAACTGTAATTGTTTCTTTCTCTTGTTTCTTCTATTCTTTACATTACACAGTCATTGGTTTTGGAAAAGCTGTTCTCATGCTTTAAAAGTAAGACACTACAGGCAAAATCTTTATTTTTTATTTTTTTTCGTGTACTGGTCAATTTTGCTTCCATAACATATCTTCTTTCACTCTAAAAATGCTGGGTTAAATATAATCCAGTGCTGGGTTAAAAAGGGACAAACCCAGTTATTGGGTTGTTTTGAACCCAACCGCTGGGTAAAAACATCCCAATAACTGGGTTTGTCCTTTTTTTAACCCAGCGCTGGGTTATATTTAACCCAGCATTTTTTAAGAGTGTACTGGAGAGAAAACGTCCTAAATAAATAGTTAAGTGTTTTTTTATTGCATTTTATCTATTTGGGTTTGTAGATCTCAATTCCATCCTTTTATCTATATTCTGAAGAGTTTCCCCCCGTCTGTTGACAGTATTTTCTGATTTATGGACTATATGTCAACAGAATCAAACAAGATTTTTAAAAACTGGCTTTATCTAGTGTTCAGATTTCTGTTCTGGTAAATTATGCAAATTTTAGCATTGTTAATTAAAGAAAGACTCATTAAACATTTTACATAACTTGTACAAAACAACTGTCTTAAAGGGATAGTTCACCCAAAAATGAAAATGTGATGTTTATCTGCTTACCCCCAGGGCATCCAAGATGTAGATGACTTTGTTTCTTCAGTAGAACACAAATTATTATTTTTAAGTCCAGCCGTTGCAGTCTATCAGTCGTATAATGCATGGCAATGGTAACAAAATCTATGAGAGTAAAAAAAACATGCACAGACAAATTCAAATTAAACCCTGCGGCTCATGACGACACATTGATGTCCTAAGACACGAAACGATCGGTTTGTGCCAGAAACCCAACAGTATTTATATAATTTTTTTCCTCTAATAGACCACTGTCTTTGGGCATGCAGGGTTTAATTTGGATTTGTCTGTGCATGTTTTTTTTACTCTCATAGATTTTGTTACCATTGCCATGCATTATACGACTGACAGACTGCAACGGTTAAAGTCTTGTTGGCAGCTAAAATACAACCATGTGTTTATGTAAAACGTGTGTACATATTTCAGCAGTATAGCGTTGTTTAGAAATAAGCAGCCCAAATTCTTCCACTGCATCAACAAATTTAAGCTCGTCATTTGAGGACTGGATCTTTGCAGGCCTATTTCCCCTCTTGAGGAAATTAAATTTAGATTCTGGCTGAAGGTGCGTCATGATGTGGCACTGTCCATAAAACATGCTTCTCTATAATTCTTTGCTCGTGTGCCATGTTTCATGTGTACATCGAGCAGCGTGTCTGGTATTCTCCCAGAACCAGGACTCCAGAATGAATGGATGTATTGTGAAAGAGCCAAACATTCCAGGAAATGAGTGTTCCCCGCCCCCTAGTCTCCTTCCAAAGCCTGGACGGGACGCTTGTTTTCTACAGGAGCTTTTTTAAGGCCCAACCACCCATATGGACGCCTGCACCAACTATGAGATCGAATCCATTTGATGATGCAGGCTAAAGCTTGTGCTCCGTAAGGGCTTAATACATCACTTGTCATTATTAGTGAGTCCATATATTATTTATGTATGTTTGTTGGTTTGTTTTTAAATGGAACAATTTATTAAAACTTCAGACAAAGTCTAAAAAATAAAAAATAAAGAAGAATATGGAGCTCATTCTCGAGGAGGAAAAAAACTCCTTTTTATTCAGTATAAATATATACTGATATTTACATGGCCAAAAAGAGATGAAATTCTGATAGCTCATAATGTAAATCGATGAGAACTTTATAACAGTACATCAGATAGGCCTACTTACATTATATAAATATCAGTGGTCACTCTTTTTCTCCAATAATATGTCTTAGAAAGTGTGTGTGTGGCCAAGTATGGTAACCCATACTCGGAATTTGTTCTCTGCATTTAACCCATCCAAGTGCACACACACAGCAGTGAACACACACACACCGTGAACACACACCCGGAGCAGTGGGCAGCCAATTATGTGGCACCCGGGGAGCAGCTGGGGGTTCGGTGCCTTGCTCAAGCACACCGTGAACACACACCCGGAGCAGTGGGCAGCCAATTATGCTGTGGCGCCCAGGGAGCAGCTGGGGGTTCGGTGCCTTGCTCAAGGGTCTCACCTCAGTCGTGGTTTTGAAGATGGAGAGAAGATATTGAAATGCTCCAAACATATAATGCAGTGATTGAGAGCTGAAGAAATAAAGGCTCCTCAGAAGATGTGAGATGTTCTGGAGGCTTGTGAAGATCATTCCTCCGCTGAGGAACAGTGAAAGTAAAGCTTCTGGAAACAAACGCTCCTCAAAAGATCCTGAGGATCAGATTTGAGACTCTAAAACATGATTGATGGAGAATCAAGTAAAGCTGAGCTGCTTCAGTCCAGTAAGTGTTCATCTGGAGATATTACTAGCAATATCTAGCAAGACGTGCCATATCAAATACAATTATTTATTATAAACCTCACCTTATGCATTTGGAAGCATAGTAGTTTTGTTAGTTTTAGGTTTGATATTTATTTTTAAACCCAAAACAATAACTGAAGTAAGAATATTTTCACATTCCGGGTTGTAGCAATGAGATTCCTGACTACAGGTGAGATTTGGCCTATAATACAGAATTCAATTAAGAATGCCTTTAAAATTCCAATGCAATTAATTTACATGTATATCTGCAGGTGTCACTTAGCCAACAGGTCATATTAGCGCATGCTGGCGATCGACTGCCATTTAAATATCTGACTATAATTCTAATGCATAGAATTCTCCAGAGGTCTTGTGCCGCCGTCAAAACTCCTCAGTTCTGCACGAATCATGGAAATGACATATTTTAGACTGAAAGCTGCATTGATGATATTTTACCTACAATAATGATGGGATTTTATCATCACAATAGTAGCCTATATAAGCTATATATTACCGAATGTGCCAAACAGAGTTTCTTTACCTTTAGAGTGTTACATCATATGAGCTACGCATTCACTCATCATCCTCGGTTGCTAAACTAAGAGAATAATCCGTTTTTTTTCTTTTTCATTAATGCCACGGTAGCCTACCTTCTGTGGAATTTTCAAGGTTACTTCAACAATAGGTCTTTGAATATCATGAGCATTATGTTTTAGAGCGAAGTGTCGCAACAGACGGAGAGAACTCACAGACACCCTCCAGGCAGTGAGTGCACACATCATTCACAACATAAGGGTTTCATTTCGAAATCTGCAGGTCATCCGGAACATTCTATTTAAAAAAAAAAAAAGAAAAAAGTTATCCATACCATGCTATTTTGCGCCATTGTCCAAGGCTTCTTCCGAAGTCGTGTGACAGACAGCATTGTGTGAGAACAGACTTAAATGTTAAAGGTGAAGTGTGTCATTCCAGCGTCAGAAAACAGAAATGATATAAATAATGATGGGTTCAAACATTGGCCCCAACTCTTGATTCACTGTTGCTAACAGAGCAATCACCTGCCAGTGGCTTATAGCTGGGTCTAAATATTGAGATGGGATATAGGAAAAGATATTGTAATGTTGATGTCAATGGCACCATATTTAACTGTAGAGTCACAGTGGAGAGCAAACCAGTGGTCTGTTCTTCACACACAATGTAGCCGCTTCCAAAAGAAGGTTTTTGCACAGATGAACCTTTCAGTGAACAGTTCCTAAAAGAACCATTTTTTAGTGTGAGCGGAGCATTTAATAATCTAATAAGATAATAACAAGAATAAGATCCTTTCTGCTTTACAGAACATTTTGTGGAATGCTTTGTAAAGCTTCATGGATGTTAAAGGTTCTCATGACAATAAAGAACCTGTGTAAGGAAAAAAAAAAAAACGTTTGAAAAATGGATAACATCCTTACAGAAATGTATCATGCCTTTTCTGTTAAGTTTATGTACTTCAACCATAAAACACACAATGCAATGCGTAATTCAAAATATGGGGAAAACACCTGAGAAAAAAAAAATATATATAAATGGATAAAATTCCTTCATATTGTTACATTGGGCCCCATTTTTGGGACTTATTTTGGAGCTTGACATTTACCATTGTTTTGAAATCCAAGTGAAATCCAGTCATTTCAATAGGAATCCACATGACTGAGAATGCAGATCTCACACCAGGTTCAAACTGATCGTCAGTAGAAAGCCTGAGAGAGCTGCGCTTCATGCATTGCCACACTATTGGCAATAGACAATGCAGCTAAATTTTTGCCGCAAAATTGTGCTAAAATTGCACTAATGTAAATGCACTAACACATACATGAGGCAAAAAGGTTTCGAACGACATGAATGATGTTTTCTCTTTAAATCTGTGGAGTAATTCCTCTTGATCTGCCTATGGTGTAATCCTACACTGTAAAAAAAAAAAAATTCTGTAAAATTTACCGTAAAAAAACTGTCTAAATGTTTTTGTTTACATAATATATTTGTGTGTACTGTGTATATGTATTATGTATATATAAATTCACACACATGCATTTCAGAAAAATATGTTATGTTTATATATTAAATATATTTATATATAATATAAATTATATGAATATAAATATATACATGTAAATATTTTGAAAATATATACTGTATGTGTGTGTATTTATATATACATAATAAACACACATATATGTAAACAAAAACTTTTATTTTGGATCTCGATTAATCACATTATAATATATATATATATACAGTATATATATATATATATGCATACATACATACATATGTATACATATTTTCATATAGAAGATGCACAATGTCATTCACACAAACACTAAACACCATCATGGTGACACACATGAAACTGTAATATACATTTAGTCATTTAGCTGACGCTTTTATCCAAAGCAACTTATATGACTTATAAATATGCAATAAACATTAATTTAACAACATTAGATGAAACATAGAACCCTAATAAACATAACTAAGAAACTACAAAAACTAAGAAGAGACATCCAATTTGAAATGCAATGCAGGGAATTCTGGGAACATCAATTAATGTTTTTTTTTTACTGTAAATTATACATTCTTTTTCCACTTCTAAAAACGGTATTTTACTGTAAAATTATATGAAATGTCTATTAGAGTTTTTCACCGTATATAGCAGGGGAACTTACCATTAACCATTCAACAGGTTTTTACTGTAGCATTTTCACAGTTTTTTACCGTTGAAATCACGATAATTTTTTACAGTCTATTTTGCGTTTCTCCAGGAAACCGACAAGCTAGAAGAGGACAAAGCCGCACTCCAGGCTGAAATCGAGAACCTCCTGAAGGAAAAGGAGAGGCTGGAGTACGTCCTCGCCACTCATAAACCTCTTTGCCAGCTTCCTGAAGAGCTGGACTGCCTATTTCCAGAGTCTCCCCAGCCCCTCTCCACTCCCGAAGCGGCCAGCAAACTCCCCGAGGACAGCCCGCAGGACTTGGAGATCCCCACGGTACCGTCCACCGCCATTTCCGGCAACTCCAACATCCTTCTGTGCTCCAGCGCAGAGGTCAGTCTGTGCGACCTCGAGCCCTCTCTGGATGTCAAGGACGAGCTTCTCGACCGGATCTCGGCGGAAACGGCCCGCTCCGTCCCCGACATCGACCTGACCGGCTCGCTGGGCATCACGGACTGGGAAACCCTCTACAAGTCTGTGGCCAATGATCTCGAACCTTTGAGCACCCCGGTGGTGAGCACATCCACACCCACCTGCAGCAACTACCTGTCCGTATTTACCTTCGCCTGCCCAGAGCTGGACTCCCTGGCCGAGGGACTGGAGGGCTGCAAGGGTGGCGTGACCAAAGCAGAAACTAGCGTCGACATCCTCAACTCTCCCACCCTTCTTGCCTTATAAATGCAAGCGTAGATGATGTAATGTCACGACGTTGTTCTTAATATCAATTGGATATCGCGGTGTTATGATGTCCAGGTGTGTGATGTTGGAGTGAAGCCAGCTGTTCGATGGCTGCATCCGTGTAATATGTGCGGAATGGGTGTTTACTTTCTTCCAGAGACATTTGATGTAGCCCAAATACAAGAGCATGGATAATTATCTTATGAGTAGATATGAACTATGTTCTGGTTTGAAAAGCATGCACAAGACAACTATATATAGATATGTATACATTGGTGGTCAAAATTATTAGAACACTAGTATTTTCACCAGCTAAAAAATGGTTTTAAGTCTATCCTTTGCTGTAGTGTGTCAGAAGGAAATATCAGTTTGCATTTTCAAACATTGATTTTGCCATTAATTGTAATAATGCAGTGAGATTAGTTTGTGCTCCACACAGAGATCTGATCTGATCATCATCAGTTTGTCTGGAGTCACATGAAGAAACAGAACGAACTGAGACAGACTCAATCCAGAAGAACTGATGCTTCAAGAAAATGTCATAAATTGATTTTCTTTATCAATTAACTTCTATTAACTAAATGAAATCAACATTTGTTGTGAGCATCCTTTGTGTAAAGCAGCTTTTGCACTCTTGCTCATAGTTTCTCAGGAGCTTTGCAGGAGGTTTCTAGAAGCATCAGTTCTTCTGGATTGAGTCTGTCTCAGTTTGTTCTGTTTCTTCATGTCACTCCAGACAGACTGATGCTGATCAGATCAGGTCTCTGTGTGCAGCACAAACATATATCTCACTGCATTATAACAATTAATGGCAAAATTAATGTTTGGAAATGCAAACTGATGTCTCCTACTGACACACTATAGCAGACGATAGAAATAACTGACTTAAAACCATTTTTTAGCTGGTGAAAATACTGCTGTTCTAATAATTTTGGCCACCACTGTATATATATATATATATATATATATATATATATATATATATATATATATATATATATATATATATATATATATATATATATATATATATATATATATATATATATATATATATATATAACATATATAGTATATATATTATATGTATCAGTTCCATATTTGTTTGATTTGGTGCTATAAGTTCTGTGGAATTGACTGCGGTTTTGTGTTTGTTTTCTATGGCAATAGATTATGGACTCGTGTTGTGCTTTAATATACAGTCATCAGAGTTATCGCATACCTCAGTGTCATCATTCGACTGTGTTTTCACATTGTTCTTAAATGTTTAGAGTTTTCCATGAAAACATCCAGTGCTATATTGATGGAGATGTATTTTATGATAATTTATTTTTCTACATTTTAAATTTGACTTCTTTGTCAAATGAAAAGAACGAAATGAGCATTGATTGCTGAATAAATATTCACGATATACAGTCATGCACTGGTGTTCTTGTGTCCTTTGTTTCGAAATAAACTGTGGATAAAAGTAGAGCTTAATAATTGGCATGTATTTTCACTCTGCTAAACCAGTCATCCTTACACCAGGATGTTGAGTTGCAGACTGTGGGATTTACATAAATTCAGTGTTCTAAAAAATAAAGACAAATGCAATTATCAGTCATTTTTTAAATGAAATTTTGTAACAGCCATCCATCTCAGATCTTCAGTGATAGTTAGGGTTTGAGAAAACAGGTTACAGATACTAGAGAAAACTGGTTTCCAAAGAAAATCCCTCCCTCCTTCTGTTAGACTGAAAGAGAAGTCCGAAAAACCCGCTGTAAAAATGAGTACTGTCATAAGATATGTGATCATAAGATGTGTACATGGACTCATGATAAACATTCAAATTTAGATGAGTTGCATGTTATAGGATATCATAAGTCAATTTAAATGAGTAAAGGAGCTCAAAATTGTAAGGATGTTTATCCTTTCAAACTGTGAACTATTGGACTGTAATGTGCAATGTTTTGTAGAACTGAAGCTACAACAACCAAGTAAACACATTTTCAGCTCAAAAGGGTACACAGCTTTTGTATTCTGTACACTAAAAACACATACAACTGCTTTCCAGTGTACAAAAACAAGCAGATCTTGACTGATGCCTGCAAAAAATATTTCAATCATACAAATTATAATATAGGTATGCTGCGATGCAAAAACACAACACAACAAATTGTCATGATACTATACTACATGTTATATAACACAATGTAACAAAATTTGTTTCACTTAAATGTTGTATGGTTCTGTAATTTTGTGGTACTAATTATTATCGCACTATTTATTTTCATGTAGCATCAATATTTTGGTAAATATTTAGGTCAGGTACATTTTTAGAACTTCTATCATTAATCATGAAACACTGGTTTTGTCACACTTCTCGGGAGGCAAGGAGCGAGGAACGAGGAAACACGGAGATAACTTCAATTCACAGTCTTTAATGATCACACTGGGAACGTAGGAGACACTGGAACACAAGGAATGGAGTTTGAGGACCGACAAACACTAACTGAAAGGACTGGGGCTTTTAAACACTGGGTGATTGGGAAAACACAGGTGCAAGGAATGACTAATTAAAGGGCAAGGAATGGAGTTTGAGGACCGACAAACACTAACTGAAAGGACTGGGGCTTTTAAACACTGGGTGATTGGGAAAACACAGGTGCAAGGAATGACTAATTAAAGGGAACACGGCACAGCTGGGGAGGGAAAACACAACACAAAGAGTCCAGGGGCGTGACAGGTTTAGTACAGATATGTTTTTTAAAGATATTTTGCTTTTGGAAGGATGGGAACATTCTAGAAGTTTCTGTAACATTCTGGAATATACTGTCACGCTCAAGTGCTTTCTGGAACAATGTTAAACTGTTGTTGTGTATTATGCATGTATGCCATTTTTATGCATTAGCTTGTATAAGCTGTCAAAATATTTTTTTAGTTTTCATGAGCACTGTTAATGACACACAAATAGTAATATGAATTTCATATTCAGCATGTCAAACTTCATTAAAAAAACATACTTAAAAAAATTACAGTGAAACAAAACGTTTATTAAAAAAAACAATTTCATGGTGTATTAAATTCTTGGTCTGCAGATTTTTCCTGAGCTTATTCATAATACTAAATAATCGTGTCTTTATTTAGAAATACTGCACAATACTGTATATTATTTTAAAAGAGACAAATAAAATTGCAATATATTTTATCACGTCTGGCAACTTGACAAACAGGTTTACAATATTATTGGGGGAAATATGCAAGTTAAATTTACATTTAATGATCTATAAGCATTTCACAGATTTCTTGTGATTATATAAAACTATTGTCAGAGCACCACAGCGAACAAATGAACCGGTTCTGTGCATTTATATATCACATGTTCAGTTATTCAGTAACTAATGGAGACTAGACAAAGATCAGACTTTCAAGACTTCTTATCCATCACATCTAGTGGATAACATGAGTCTCACATCATTTGTCAGATGAAATGGCTGATAGTTTAGAATTTACTGTCAGCACCCTGAGCATCAGACATTCATGAAACTAAGCATGTTTCCTTCTGCATATTCTCCATACATACTAAGTTTTGAGAGATTTGGATTTTGTGCACAGAAGATTCCATTCAGATTTGACATCATTAACTACTGAAATATGATTGGCTGGCTATTTGTTTTTTACACAGCCAAGTCACATAGGAGATGTTATGACGTCCACCAAAGAAGATGCAATCCAATTTCCAACTAACCCGATCATAAGGTTACTGCATTATTAAGGATTTTCTGTTGTAGGCGCAATATTGGCATTACTTGCCATGCATCCTCAGAATGTCCTGTGGTCTGTATGTATCACGTTTTGTTAAGTTTGGGCATTGCATTAGGAGGAAAATCAGCAATGCCAGAAATTAATTAATTAATTTGCTTATATCTTCACAACATTTGGACAAATCAAAATCCTTTAGATTACTTCTTGCCAGCACCATCCCTGACTTTGCTGAAGCTCGTAAGCGAGAGGTTACAGTAAGCAGTGAAAAATAAAAACATATAGACATTTTTCCCCTTCACATCTGTTACAATAATTTTTTACCACTGCAGTTTAAACAAACTATGCATTTCACATATTTTAACAGGGCATCTTGCTTTATTAATCTTCATTAGAAATGTCTTAAATAAGCAATGTGCATCTAATGTGTGTCAGTGTCCTACTCACTCAAAATGTGGGATGTACCATCTTGAGATACTCCTGACAAAGACAAGAGTCATTTAATAATTTAACAGACATGGGCCATTGGGCCGATATGTTTTGGGCTGCAGCCCATAATAACTAAATGTCCCTTTTCTTGTAATCAGTGTCCAAATATCACAAAACATGGTACACATGGACATTCTTAGAAAACAGCCAACATATAATGTATATCTGATTGTTAGAGGGGATTACAGAGATTTCTAAATCACTGTTTATATCCGTGTGATTGACAGAGGAAGGCTGTGATACTAATATTGTCAGAGCCACAGGATAAGGCATCCTTTTCTCATTAGTATAATTTTCTAGATCTCATAATTTGGCATCAGTGCATGTGGTTCAATAGCTTACAGACAATAAAGTTACAGAGTATTTGTTAAATATAGCTAACAAAATATATATTGTGTGTTTGATTGGTCCAGACGCTACACTTATATAGATCATTAAACAGTACCTTAATTTTATATCCTAACTTAGTAACTGGTTTAAATGTTGTATTTATAATTTTGTGTGTGTGTTTGATTATCACATAGATCTACTCATGTGTGTTAAGGTTTAAAGCAGGCATTTAACAACAGTAACAACCACAAATGTCATGTGTGTGATAAATCTTCACTCAACTGCCGATGTTGAAAAGCACTCAATAGAGTGCGAGTGACTCTTCACACTTCACGTTATACATCTACATCCAACAAAGCATCAAAAAGTACCATTAGGGTAGGAACCAGAGTACCATGTAAATATCATGGTACAAGTATTCTAACATCATGCTGCCGGTACTAAACAAAATCTTCCTTCATGTCATGATTGCAGCTTCTGAAAAAACCCTAAAAATCAAACATTTCAAACTCCTTGGGTTTTTGGTCTGCTCCTCTGGAAGCTTCCTCCCTTCTCGTTCTTCATGGTGCAGTTGAGCAAATGATGAGATGTCTGACCTCTGCTGATTTCCAGCTCAAGAGCTGGAGGACGGAGAAGTGAGGAAATGAGAAAGCATCTGTTTGAGTATTAAGAAGCACACTGTGTGTCAGGTTTTGTTAAGTCTGGACACTGC